CCGCATTTTGAAAAGCGCCGAACGCTGGGCTGTCACGGCAACGGGCGACAACCATGTTCGCCGTCGAGGTGGCGCGTGGCCTGAGCTGGAACAGGCCATGGCGCGTTGGATTGCAAACGCCGGACCCGCTGGCGTTCCTCTAACGCTGCAGACGATCCGCGACCACGTTGCGACAATGGCGCGGAACATGGGCATCCCGCCCGGCTTCCGCTGCTCCATTGGCTGGGTGCGCCGTGCGTTGCGGTGCCAGGGGGTGAGATGTCGTGCATCGGCAGGCGAGGCTGCCAGCGCCGACATGGCTGTCGTGCGTGACGCCCGCGACAAGCTGCCGCACCTGCTCACGCACCTCAGCCTCAGCCCGCGCGACACTTACAATCTGGACGAGACAGCCCTCTGGCTGTCTGTGCTGCCGCGGAGGACTTACAGCAACGCCCGCATACCAGGGCGCAAAATCTCCAAGGACCGCCTAACCGTGGCGTTTCTCGTGAACGCGGACGGGAGCCACGCATTCCGGCCGTTGGTCATCAGCAAGGCGAGGCGCCCCCACGACTTCCGCCCGGATTACGACCCCGAAGCCGTCTGCTATTGGCGGCACAACGCCAAGGGTTGGATGACCGCTCCAACCTTCACGGCACTGTGGAACGACGACGGTGCGACGAGCGCCGTCGCACGGTACCGCCCCAACCTGCGCGACGTCCTGGGGTGGCTCTCGGACGCATGGATGAGCGTCGGTGCGCGCACCATCCAGAGGTGCTGGTGGCGCACTAGATGCCTGCCGCTGTCGTGGTCGCTGGAGTTGACCCATGTTCACGACGACGAGCCGACCCCGCATCCCTATCCCGACATCGAGCTCGATGAAGACATCAACGACGTCGGAACTCTCATTAGCTCCCTCGGTCTCGGGAACGGCGCGATGACCGCCGCGAAATACGTGGCGATCGACGACGGTGAGCCAACGTCCGCCGAGACCGCGGCGGAGCTTCTGACTGATGAGCCGGAAGCGGCCTTGGTGGCGACGCTATGGAGGGCGCCGACCACGATGCAGGCGGTGTACGACGATGCGGACCCCGTGGGCCGTGAAGCACGACGCACTGCCCGGGCGGCCTGTGAGATGCTCATCGGCTATGCGCGCGCCGTGAGCGTGACGCCGCGCGACCTCTGCTACCTCTTCGACATACGCAATCCCGTCATCCTCGAGCGCATGGAGCGGGCAAGCCCCCCCATTAATCTCAACATGGCCCCGCCGCGTGTGCTCACTCCGGGCTCAACGCCCACGCCCGACACCCTTCGTCCGCGCGGCCGTGTGCTGCCTGGCTGGATGACCCAGCCATCCCGCCGGCAGCAGCTGCTGGACGGCGGTGTTGGCGCCGCCATGGGCGGGTAGGTTGAGGCGGCTGAGTGGATGCGCCTGTGAGCTGTTTTTCCAGCCCTCTGTGCCGGCGTCGAAGACATCCATGCTGTGTTGGGATTGTTTTCCCAGCAGCACATTTGTGCGTGTGGTGATGTGTGTCAAGGTTGGGGCTGCGTGACCATGTGGGAGATGGTGATTGGTTAGGCTTTGAGTGTTGGTTGTTTCAATCTAAGTTGAACAATTGTTGACGCTGTTTGGTGACATGTTGTTGCTTTCGTGAAGTATTCAGTAACGCGCATTTGTGACAATTAGAGCCACCCGTCACTGTTCCGGAACGGACAAATCGGGTGGTAACCATGTGCAGGTTAGATGCACGCGCAAAGCCTAACGAAACAAGCGAACCCCCTACGAAATGTCGGTTTAGCATACAGACCCCCTTCACAAGGCAACCGGGAGGGGCTCTAACGAGCATTAGCTGTACCGCTTCCAACCAGGATCAATAACGTTCTACGAACTGGACGTCCACAAGTTCCCCCGCATGCTCTCGGACAACAACCTCACTGGTACCCTCAATCTGCTTGCGTTCCGACAAGGCGAGCTTGTGAAAAACCTTGGGACATCATGCACGGATGGTCTGCATGATGAGCTGGTGAAGATCTTGCCGGTTTACGAATGACGTCTTTCGTGCCCCTCACGAATGCCAACCTGTCCCGTGCGGCAACTGATTTGTATCTCTGCTGCAACAAAAAACGCAAGAGTAGTATCGTATTTATGTGACCTGGGCACAGTAGTGCTGCCACAGCTGTTCATAGCAATATATCTGCTGTACAAGCCCCATCCAGGCCTATTTTGGAAGCTAAACATGAAAAGAAAAACTGCACAATTGAATCCCGCCCGTTAGAATCTCATACTGCAGGCATGAGCAGACCAGGCCCGCTGGATAAAAAGGCAAGCCTCCAGTTGGAGGCCATCAGGCATCCCAAGCGATGCATCATACGCAAGAGCTGGAGGCCACGTTGCTTAGGAGCCGATCAGAGAGAATTTCTCCAGACCTAGAAACGGTGATTTGCCGTTGCACACGTAGCGTTGAATTGCTACCGTGGTCGGACAATTCGATGATAATTGCTCGAGTGGTCTTGCCAGAGGTTTCCTCTGGCATTTTTTTTTATCCGGCACATTACCCAAAATCGGTTTTTAGCCATGAAATTCTTACGTCGAACTTGTCTCTTCGTGCGAAAGTGTGACGCACCCGGAAAGACGTGCACGAGGGCGGCGCCGTCACTGTTCGGATACGCGACAGAATCGGCACGGTAATCTAGGCAAACAGTTGCGCTCAATTTCGGTCCATATCGTAACCAATCCACGCATAGTTATATGATTCCCCGATCATATACTCAGTTGCACAGATGTCAGTACGCGCGACCAATTACAGAGTGCGCTTGATTGGTCGACTTTATGCGTGGGGCATTTTCTGACCTTGCGCGTCCAATCAGACGCGGTCATGTAAAATTGCGCTCATATAAAACCGCATATTTACCTAAATGAGCGCGCATATGTGATGCTCAAATGTGTGTGTGATATGTTTTATTGATATAAAAACTATGTTAATAGATTAGGGAGACGTTATCACTACCAGCGTTTTGCCATTATACTTATATCAAACTGTGCATACCTATATCGCACAGCGTGATATAGGTATAATGGCAAAATGTCGGCAGTGATAATGTCTCTCAAATTTATTAATATAGTTTTAGATTAATAAAATAGATCATACACACATTCGAGCATCACATATGCTCGCTCATATAGGTAAATATGCGGTTTTATATGAGCGCGATCTTACATGACCGCGTCTGATTGGACGTGCAAGGTCAGAAAAGGCCTCGCGCATAAAGTCGACCAATCAAGCGCACTCTGTAATTGGTCGCGCGTACTGATATCCGTCCAACTGAATATATGATCGTAGAATCATATAACTATGCGCGGATTGGTTACGATATGGACTGAAATTGAGCGCAACTGTTTGCCTAGATGAGTGTGCTGATTTTTGTTGCGTATCCGAATAGTGACGTTGTCGCCCTCGTGCACGTCTTTCCGGGTACGCCACACTTTCGCGGGAAGAGACACGTTCGACGTAAGAATTTAAGGGGCTAAAAACCGGCTTTGGGTAATGTGCCGGATTAAAAAAATGCCAGAGGAAACCTCTGGCAAAACCACTCGAGCAATTATCATCGAACTGTCCGACCACGGTAGCAATTCGAGGCCACGTGTGCAACGGCAAATCACCGTTTCGGAGTCTGGAGAAATTCTCTCAGCCGATCAGGAAGCTCTCAACCATAGAAATGGAACAGAGGCTGAAAACGGAAGAGCCGTGATTCTGTGGCCGGCTGGTTGAGTCCCCTTTAAAGCGATTAGGTTGGTCGGGCTCGTCTGTGGATCACTATACTCAAATCGTGAGGACCATTACAAGTGAAAAACCGAGGAAGGGTCGGGACCTCACGACCCTGCCAAATCGATCGCCACATCGGTGTGCCATGACTGATTTTTTGCAATCGCGTGCCCACCGCAAGCCCCAAGTGACACGATCGGAAAATCATGGGGCAAAATTGCCCGATGTGGACGAAATTGCACGATCGATGTGTGACAAGGGAGGTCGATCGCCCGACTCCGAGGGGACAACTGTACATTGGCGACAAATGACGAAAAAGGTAACAAGAAATTAACGACGTCGTGAATGCATTGTAGCCGCGAAACACCGATCTTGTGCAGGATCGGTTTTTCACTCGTGACGCGTCCTGATGGGGCAGCGTGTCAATTTAGATAGGGCCAGGCGTACACGTACTATCGTACTGTACAGTTGGCCACGTTGACCTCGATGTCCCGATTGGCGGAAAATGAAGGCCACTGCCAGCAAACGAAGGCCTCCCCTCAGTCAGAGCGTCTCTCCCTCGTGTAACTACTCTACGAAAGACCTTTTTTTCATAGCCATTCACTCCGTAGTCTGTCAGTATTCACAATAGCCTTTGTCCTCGTCCCTTTCACAGCTTCGTAAACTGATTTTGATGGCGTTCGCTAGCTCTGAACTCGTGAGTGCGCTGAGCGAGGATGAATGGCAGACGCGCGTTCTTTCTGGTTCAGGTCTTATCGTGGTCGCCCTTTACGACAGCACCCATACATGGAAATGCGAAACATTTGGTCCCGTTTTTGCCGATATCGCGAGCAGCTTCAATGCGGAGATTCAGGCAGGATTAGTAACGTTCTACGAGGTGGACATCGATAAATACCCCTGGGTGGCCTCGCACAACTACGTCAGCGGTACGCTCAATCTGCTGGTGTTCCGAGAAGGGAATGTCGTAAAATCCTTTGATACGATTACAGTTGGTCGCCCCGGCACAGAAGACGTAATTATGGAACTCATGCAAGGGTAGGAAGGAATGAAGTCCGCTGTGCTCCTGATAACTTGTGAAATGCACTTGCCTTCTCTAGCACCACCATCAAGTTTAGGCGCTGTGATTGGTATGTGGAACAAGAAACGTCTGAAGAGTTACTTAATCTTTAGGAATGAATGGGCACATTATGCCTTAAAACTTTGTTAAAACTAGTGTATTATATGTTTCATGGAATCCCTGTCTACATCCATGCCCAGCACCTACTCGTCCATGTCAGCGACATGCGGGCCCACAAAGTCAACCGAGTCAAAGAGGTCCGCATTGAGCCAGACCTGCCTGTTGCGTGGCATGGGTCCTTTCACACAGAAGAAAGTGCAGGGCGGCTGCTTCACCCGTGCCACGTCCTTATCCGCACACACCGGCGGCCACCCCGCCTCCGGCCTCACAATCTCACTCTCCTCCTGCGCCGGCCGCATGCGGTCCTTAGCGGGCGGCGCAGGGCATGTGGAGACGACGTCCGGGCGGGTGACTGCGGAGGGGTCTTCGAGGGCCTGGGCGGCGTACTTGACGAGGAGGACCGCCCAGTAGAGCTTTCGGCCCTCCAGGGAGCACCCCCACCTGGTGGAGGGGGAGGAAGGGGAAGAGCGGAGATGGCGTGACAGCAAGACAGGTAGAAGCGTTGTTTGGAGATGGCGTGCAACTGTGTGAATATCAAGAATGGGTGATTTAGAAAGAAAAGAGCATGTCACGCACGGTGTGAATAGCAAGCAATGAATCGCGGCACAGTGTGCATTGTAGGCAGAGCATCGTGGCACAGTGTGGGAAGCAGGCGGCCACACTCACTTGGCAACGCGGTGCGCGTTGGCAATCATGTGTCGCACTTGGGTGTCGTGCTGTCTCGCCCACTCGACGCGGTCAAAGAGGTCCCCAAAAAAGTGGTCCGTGGGGATGAAGTGCCGCCACGGCTGCAGCAGCGGCTGGTAGAACTGTGCAAAGGGCGTGTCCTGCCGAATCATGGCCTGCACGAGGGGTGCGAGATGTGGGGAAGTAGTTAACAAGATCAGCCAAGAAGAAAGTTAGACTATTGTGGTAGCTGTGGGTGCAGCAGCGGCTGGAAGAACCGTGCCAAGGGCGTGTCCTGCTGGATCATGGCCTGTGAATGGGGTGCGGGATGGGAGACGGCGAGACAGGTTAAAGAGGACCAGTAACACCGGAAGCAACAGCAGCGCACACAGCGCCAGCAGCACCAGCAGGGGGGGAATAAGGAAGAGATGCATTGAGCCGATTCCATAGCTACTGAGGATGCAGTGGTGGTGGAACATATGGCAAAAGGCTCACTTGGTCGCTGCCGAGCACACACACAGCACACACACAGCACACGCAAGGCAAGCGGCTCACCTGGTCACTCCCCAGCACACCGCAGGTGCGGCAGGAGCCAGCGCCGCCGTCCACAACGACCTCGTACTTGAAGCGCTGCGACTCCGCCTTCTCCATCTTGGCCGCCTCACTCAACCCGTCTCCCATCGCCCTGCATGCATGCACACAAGCATTGCCTCATGCGTTTCCAGTCGTTCACGATTGCTATCACACTTGCTCACGCTTCTCAAACACATGCTTCTGTCCTCGCATGTGTGACCTCGCGTGCTGTTTCTAGTCTCACATGCTGCGGGTCTCACATGCTGCGGGTCTCACATGCTGTGGGACTCACATCTGCCTTGACTCACATCTGCCTTGACTCACATCTGCCTTGACTCACATCTGCCTTGACTCACATCTGCCTTGACTCACATGTTTCTGGTCTTGTCATCCACGAGCAGGCGCATGACTCGAGCATCCAGCAGGTCTGGGCGCGCATCCGTCATTCTGCCACGCGTGCAGTCCGCCCCTGCACCCACACCGACCGCCATGGCCACCCACCCCAGTCACAACCCACCCCAGTGACCACCCACCCACCCGCCCACCACACCACCCACTCATTCATCCAAAGTTGAACAAAAGAATTCAATGCGATGGGGAAAAGGCACCCATGGGATGGAACCGTGAGAGTGGGGGAAGCGAGGGAGAGAGCAAGTGCGGGAGGGAAGAGCACAGCGTGGCTGAATGTCCGACGATTGAGGGCAAGAGGAAACACAAGAAAGCAAGCAAAGCCGGACGAGAGGTGGAAGGTATGGGCGGGAAAAGGGGTAGGGCAAGGCATGGGAGGGTATGGGCGGGCGTGTGCGGGCGTGGGAGGGCGTGGGCGAGCGTGGAGGGAATCTGACCGGTGGAGGCGATAGCGCGGGCTGACTCGCCAGCGGTGGTCGGGGCCCAGCTTGAAGTTGGTGAAGCCGCCCCTGAACACCGCCCTGCTCGCCTTCTGCTCCCAGGGGGTCTGGGGAGAGAAGGGTGGCACGGAGGGAGAGCGAGGCGAATGGGGAGCAGTGAGGCAGACAGGGAGCAGCAGCGCCAGCGCTCTGGCACATCACCTCGCAGTGAACCAAAACGCTTCCTTGCCTCCCACCCCTCACCTTGGCGTCCTTGCCAGCCTGGTAGCTCTCCGATAAATCCAGCGGGTCAGGCACGATGATATCCAGCGTGCCCGGCAGCCACTCCGTGCTGAAGATGGGCCGCCCGCCAAAGATCCCACTCAGCGAGCTATCAAAGCTCTTGGGGAGGTCGCAGGTGGAGAGGAAGAACTCGGCACGCAGGGCGAGCAGGGAGTAGTGGCGGATAGCGGCCTGGATGAGCTTCACGGACTGCACAAAGCGGTGCAGACGGTCCCACTGGTAGTGGAAGCCCCCGTAGCGGAAGTACACCTGCCCGTCAATGATGCGGATGTGACCCGAACATGACATGAACTGGTGGGTGGGAACCAAAGGGGGCGGTGGGGAGGGAGGAAATTGGGAAGAAGAAGTGCCTTTGAGACGTCCTGAAAGGCGTGGCGGAAATACACCTGCCCGTCGATGATGCGGATGTGGTCCGACGCCTGCGCATGACATGAACTGGCGTGTGTGAAAGCATTGCGGGGGAGGGGAAGGGAGAAACATTGTTCTTGGGCGCCTGATTATGAGGAGTTGACGTGAGTAAAATTGGATAGAGCAGGTAGACGAGGGACAGAAGAGAGAGCCACATAGACTGGAACAGACAGACTCATGAGTTTTAAGACGTCTCTCAATCAACCGCCTCACTTCTCACAGGAGCCAGATTACAAAGCTCACCCCGGGTTCAGACGCCACGTATTGCAGCATGGCCTGTGAGATGATGCCACGTGGCCCCTCCTCCTCCGCCGCCCCTCCTACACCGCCCTTCTTCACCAAACTCGAGCCCATCCAGGGGTGAAGGTAGGTGTCGGCGATGCAGGCAAAGCGCCTCACAGCCTCGTCGGAGCGGTTCAGCTTGGGGAACGCCGCGAGCTGCCGCGTGCAGTCGGGTAGCGACGCCAGGTCACCCTGAGTGGGTAGCACCTGCCCGAATGACGCCGCCTGCTGCTGCTGCGGCTGCTCCTCCGGCTGCTGCGGCGGCTGCTGCTGTAACGGCTTTGGGTCTGACTGCTTGTTCTCACTTTTAGTGCCCTTGCCAGGCGATGTGGCCGTGTCACTGGAGTCAGCAGTAGCAGAGGACTGCTTGGTTTCAGGCGATGGAGATACGGATGCGGAAGTCGCTGACGAGGTGTCAGCAGCACCGTTGGCTGAGTCAGCAGCGTCGCTGGACGAGTCAGCGGGCACAATCTGGCGCAGGAAGCTGGGGCCGTCGGTGGAGGAAGTCCACGCGGCGGCGCTCTCTCGCTGCAGGCGACTGCCGGGACTCTCGTCCATCTGCGCACACCGATCCCGCATCAGCCGTTACAAGCCACCAAATATCAGGCGAAATTCATGTGTAATTACTAGAATGAAACATGCACGCGTTTGCACTAGCACATGCACGAGTTCTCAATAACACATGCACGCATGTGAAGTTGAAGGCACGAATGCATAAGGAATGAAGGCATACCAGCGAGGCGGTGAACACGGCGAGTCGTCTTCTGTAAGTCGTGGCGTCACTTGTGGCTGACAATGATGACGTGGCAAAAACGATCAGCACAAGGAACGATACAGTAACGGTCGTACGTTTCGTCATTCTGACGTATCCTTCGGCAGTTTAAGAGCAACCTAGTAGCAACTGTCTGAACAACGTAGCAGGTGAGAGATCATCCCTGCTTTCAGACTCTAAGCACAATAAAAAGGTTAGTGAATGGAGTGATGATCAGGCCATAGCATCTTCTGGTCAGTAAGGGTTCCAACAGCTTGGGAGTACGGTCACTGAAGCATGCATGAGGTCTGAAATACGGTCTTCTAAAATTCAGGAACCAATACCCGAAGGCATGGCCATCTGAAGACATCAGTAGATACGGCGTTCAGCGGTAAGGCCATCAGAAAGGAGGAGAATCAAGGACAGTAGGGTGGAGCGGAGTTGCGTGTGGTGCGGAGTGCAGTGTGGAGTCAGTGGATTGGTGGTGGTGTGTGGAAGGTTGGTGTGGTTGGTTGGATAAGGAGAACCTTAAATTGTGATAAGCAGCTGGCAACTTGCTCGTCTGGGTGAGACTGTCCTCGCTTAGAAGCGCATCGCAAACCGTACAACTCGTGACGTTTATGTTTGTAGGCCTTGGAGAAACCGTACAGGCAGGTCCCTGGAATAGGCCTCGCAAAACTTTGTAACAAATTGTTTATGTCGCGAAAGATGACTCATCCCAGCAAGGCCAACCGGTCAGTTCCATTCTTTCCTCATTTGTTCTGCAGATCTCGCTATCACTATCTGTCAAACCCTCTTAGCAGTTCTTCTCTAGCCATTGCATCTCCGCTTGTCACGCTCGTATCAGAGTAGTTAACTTAGTTTTTCGGTTCCCTCCGTTCTTTAGAATTGGTTAGCCATGGCCGAATCCGCGTCGAAGGTCATTCACGTCCGCAATGTGCCATCTGAGGCCACGGAGGTGAGGGTTTCGAACATTTAGCACGTTCCAGATCTGCATGATTTTAGTAAATTACAGAATTTATTTTGCTCGTTTTACTCATCTTTTAATCTCGATTATTCTCTTCTGCAGCTCGATGTGCAGCAGTTGGCGCAGAACTTCGGACCGGTGCAGAGGGTCGTCGTCATGAGAGCCAAGAACCAGGTTCGATTGTCGATCTGCAAAGTCTTCTCTCGTGTGCCTTCATCCTGCTCGGCTGATTCGTCATTTCACTTGTAATTAATTCAAAATTGTGATTTCTTGCAGGCCCTCATTGAGATGCAGGACATTGCAGCTGCGATCAACATGATCCAATTCTACACTGGCGTGCAGGCCTCCATCAAGTAATAAATAATAGTTGTTCCTATATTTCATCCATGGCATTATTGATTCAGTTCATCGTGCCTGTTAATTGCCAAAGAATTCACACAACCTCGCGTCGCCATGAAACGATGTAACTGCTAACGTTGTAACCGTGTAACCGTGTGCAGGGGGAGGAACGTGTATTGCCAGTTCTCCTCGCATCAGGTCCTCACGCCCAACGAGAATCCGGGCAGGACACACCAGGAGGTACGTGAATTCTAGTCAACGGAGGAATGCTGGATCGGGCAATAGCGGGAACTATCCGTATTACGGAGAGCATGCTAGCCGTCCGACGACAAGGAGTCACGGATCGACCGTCCCTATTCCTCTTCCTCCTCACTGCTCTCGTTCCTTTCCGTACCTACCTTTTCCGCCTTTGTGCATCTTTCTCCTCCTTTCCGTACCTTTCTCCGCCTTTCCGTACCTTTCTCCGCCTTTCCGTACCTTTCTCCGCCTTTCCGTACCTTTCTCCGCCTTTCCGTACCTTTCTCAACCTTTCCATACCTTCTCCGCCGTTTCCTCTCATCCGTTCTTCAGATCTTACCCTCTCCCTCTCTCTCCCCTCCTCTCTCCTCCCTCTCTCTCCCCTCTCTCTCCCCCTTCTCCTTCCCGTTCCTCGCTCGTCTCCCCAGGGTGCCCCTAACCGCATAATCCTAGTCACAATCCACAACCCGCTGTATCCAATCAACGTGGATGTGCTTCACCAAGTCTTTTCTCCCCATGGCTTTGTTGAGAAGATCGTCACTTTCCAGAAAGCTGCTGGTCCGACCCCCCTCTCCCTCCTTCTCGCTCTTGCACTCTTTCCTGCCTTCTGTTCCTTCCGCTCCTTCCTTTCCTTCCGCTCCTTTCCTTCTGCTCCCTCTCGTCTTCTCTAACCGCGGCCAAAGTACCCCCGGGGGTATTAGACGTCGGTCGTCATCCCCCGGAGTGAGGGGTCAGGCTGTCCCCTCACACGCGGGAAACTCGACCGCCGACCGCTTTGTTCTCAACCGCGGCCTCTGCTGCTCCCTCTCGTGCTGCACCTCGTGCTGTCTCCCGCGCTGCCTCCCCTTTCCCCCGTCCCCCGGTGTTGCGCGGAGCAGGGCTGCAGGCGCTGGTGCAGTACAACAACCAGGCGAGCGCGGCCGCCGCCAAGACCAACCTGCAGGGCCGCAACATCTACGACGGCTGCTGCACGCTCGACATCCAGTTCTCCAAGTACGTTTCCCCCTGTTATATACACATGTTCTTATATCTCCCCCCCCCCGCAACCCACCCCCCTCCACCCCCCCTCCTCTCCTAAAACCAACTCTTACTTCTGCCAGAAGGACGTGGTTTTCAAAAGCCAACTCTTATCTTGCTCCTGCAGCACTCAATAGGATTGGTCCTACGTAACAGCCGTTTTAAGCTCGACGAGGTGCCTCTGTTGGGTTTCTTCCGTGTGTCAATGTCGGTGGTTGTTACAAGTTACAACGTTGGTGGTCCCAACGATGTTAGTTACAATGTTGGCAACAGTGGTTCTCATGATGTGTGTGTGTGTGTGTGTGTGTGTGTGTGTGTGTGTGTGTGTGTGTGCGTGCGTGCGTGCGTGTGTGTGTGTGTGTGTGTGTGTGTGTGTGTGTGTGTCGTTCTGCCCCTGCGTGTGTGCGCGCGCGTGTGAATGGTGTGGTGGTGCGGGTGCTCATGGTGGTGGCGGCTGTGGTGATGGTGTGTGCGGTGTGCAGTTTGAGCGAGCTACAGGTGCATTACAACAACGAGCGCACCAGAGACTATGTCAACCAGCTGCCGGATCAGCCGGGCAAGGCACCCATGATGGTAAGCGGAGACAGCCAGTGGTCATTCCCTGTCCCGTTAAGTTCCTCCCTTCGCCCGTTTGTGTAACTGACGCGCCTCTCATTCTTCTAATTTATTTTTTCCGCGTGAGCAGCAGACGTCACTGTTTGGCGAGGGCGGGAATGTGTATGGCGCCATGCCCGGGCAGCGGCCGGGTGTGTTTCCGGGACAGATGGGGCAAATGGGGCAGATGGGGCAGATGGGACAGATGGGGCAGCCGGGCATGCCCCAGCCGGGCATGGGCGGCCTCAACGCATATGGGGTGAGCCCTTTTGCCTTCTGCGTGTATTGGTCATCCTGCTGCTTAATTGTGCCTTTCCTGCTGCTACTGCTGCTGCCACCGCTGCTGTTGGCACTGCTGCCGCTGCGGCGTACATTGCATGTTGGAGCTTCCTTTGCGTGGTGTATGTCATTGGCGGGTTGCTGCTCTGTATGTTTGGCTGCATGCAGAACACCAACATGGTTTTTGAGGCGCCTCAAAAATCACCCCTGTGCATGGTGTATGTCATTGGCGGGTTGCTGCTCTGAATGTCCTCTGCATGCAGAACCCCGGCATGGCAGCAGCAGCGGCGGCGCAGATGTTCGGGGGCAACCTGCCGCCGGGTGTGACGGGCACCAACGACCGCTGCACACTGCTCATCTCCAACATCCACCATGAGGTGCGCTGACGTCAGGCGCGGGAGACGTGACATGCTGACGTGGCCCATGAGGACTTCTGACCTGATTTAGAGAGTTGCTTCTTCAAACGTGCAGACAGTTCCTGTTGCTGCCCCTTTCCATGCGCTATCCAGCATTGCCATGGGCGCGCCTTGCACTTTCCACACACCACCCGGCCCTTTAAACCTGCACTCTTCTTGAACCCCTCCCAGGTGGTGGACGCGGACAAGCTGTTCAACCGCGTTCTCAACTACTGCTATGTGGTGCCCTTATCACGCAGAGCCCGTCGTTACTACATGCTCTCTACCATGCTCCACCCTCTCTACCGTCTCCAACCGTTTACATGCCAAGTGGTGGACGCGGACAAGCTGTTCAACCGCGTGCCCAACTACGGCAACGTGGTGCCCCTACGATGCACTGCCTACCGCACTCCATGCTCTCTAACCACACTCCACACTCCGTGCTTCACCCTCCCCATCACACATGTCAGGTGGTGGATGCAGACAAGCTGTTCAACCTGGTGTCCAACTACGGCAACGTGGTGCGAATCAAGTTCCTGCACAACAAGCCCGACCATGCCCTCGTGCAGCTCGCTGATGGGCTGCAGGCCGAGCTCGCCGTCACTTATCTCAAGGTGTGTTGCTGTCCACCCTGTGGTGCCATGGAGTACGATGTCCTAGTGTATGCTGTCTGTGTGGCGCCTTGGGGTGTGCGTTGGGTTTTCACAACAAGCCCGACCATGCCCTCGTGCAGCTCGCTGATGGGCTGCAGGCCGAGCTCGCCGTCACTTATCTTAAGGTATGCCGTTTGCTTTGTGTGCTGCCATGTGTTTAGGTGAACCAAGGGCAGATACACCCTCGTCGACACTAAGTTGGTGCGTTTCTGTCACTACATTATCCATTCCTCTCACACTACTTCGCTCAAATCTGCCCTCCCATGGGCTTCCTCCGCACTCCCTCCCCTTCCCCTCCTCGTCCCTACTCCTACCTCCCTCCCTTTCCCAGGGTGCTGCCGTGTTTGGGAAGCGGCTGGAGGTGAACTATTCCAAGTACCCGTCCATCAACCCTTCAGCCGACACTAAAGACTACTCCACGTCCAACCTGAACCGCTTCGGCCGCAACGCGCCCAAGAACTACCGCCACTGCTGCGCGCCCACGCGCATGCTGCACTGCAGCAACCTGCCAGCTGACGCCAGCACTGACATGGTGGTAGAGCACATGGCCCCGCACGGGCCCGTGCTGGGGTCTAAGGTGATCGACAAGGACGGGAAGAAGCAGGTGCTCGTGCTGTTCGAAACGGTGGAGGCGGCCACTGATGCGCTCGTGGCAAAGCATGCCACGCCCATCGGTGGGCAGGTTATCCGGCTCGCGTTCTCCAAGAGTCAAAATCTGTAGGGGATGGTTCTGGGGGGTAGATGACAGTGCGTGTGCTGGGGTAGAAGGTGATTGACAAGGACGGGAAGAAGCAGGTGGTGCTGCTGTTTGAAACGGTGGAGGCGGCCACTGATGCGCTTGTGGTGAAGCATGCCACGCCCATCGGTGGGCAGGTTATCCGGCTCGCCTTTTCCAAGAGCCAAAATCTGTAGGGTTGACTAGGGTTTTGGATGAGTAGAGCTGCAGAAGTGTTCTTGGTTGTCCTTCGGCTCTGGAGTGTTTTTATTTTCATGGTATGTTGAATAATTGAAAGGGTGCAAGTGGGAATGTTGAATCTACCATAGGAACAAGGGTAAATGCTGGAAACTGTTTGGTTAAACTCCACTAGACTGAGAGAAGTACATTAGACCAGGATCCAATAAGCACTGACACTGTACTGCAAGTATGGCAGTGGCTAGCTGAACATGTGTGGCATGGGCCGCACTGCCATAAATGCATCCACCATCTGTGTGCATGGGAGGGGATAAGATGATGAGGGCAGATGAGGTGGGGCAGATGAGGTGGGGCAGATGAGGTGGGGCAGATGAGATGGGGCAGATGAGATGGGACAGATGAATGGGGGACAGATGGAGGACAAGATAACTCCCGACAAGCTGGTATCGTTAAGGCAGTGCCTAGCTGAACATGTGTGTCATGGGCTGCACTGCCGTAAATGCATCCACCAGTTGGGGATGCATGGGAGTAGGGGGGGGGAACGTGAGATGGGGCAGATGAGATGGGCAGCAGATGTATGGTGGCCACATGAACGGGGGCCAGACGATGACTAGCCTCGTCTGTGACAGGAGCACGGGCCTTTTGGTGGTGGTCCACCATGCCAGTTAATACCTCCATGTGTGCAGGCAGACTGATGAGGTTAGGCATGAGGAATGACACGAGCCGTGTGACTGACTGTCCTGATCAGTGGGTGGAACTAACCTCGTCAATTTGGGGCACTCACCTCATCAGTGACAAGTGCGCGTGCCTTCTGATGGCGCTCCACCATGGCAGTTAACACCTCCACCAGCCGCCCCTTCACCTCCCCTGTCAGCATTCTCCCTGCCCCGTACTCCTGGAGTGAGGGGTGATGGGAGCAATGGTGAGGGGGGGAGATATTATTCCGCATGGTGCCCTCACTCCCAGCAATGCTCACCGCAACCAAAACAGTTTAAAGCACTCGTCATTTTAAAGTGCTCTCACCGTTTTGATGTGCTCCAGCTCAATGTCGTCGTCCAGGAAGAAGGACAGGTACTTCACTGGCACGTCCACCTGCAGGCATGGGTGGGGATAGGTGGAGATAGGTGGGGATGGGTGGGGATGGCATGAGACGGCATGGGTTTCCAAGGAGAGGTACTTCAGTGGCACGTCCACCTGCGATTGTGGGTGGAAACAGCATGCGGCAAAGTAAGACAGGTTGTGCAAGATTCAGGCATGCAGGCAAGTCAGGAGAGGAAGGGAAGGATACACGGAACCACGTGAAAAAAGGAGTGTTTTGAGACGTCTCAAAAGGGAAGGATACACGGAAAGCATTTTTGAGTCGACTCAAGAGAGGAAGGGAAGGAGACACGGAAAGCATAAAACCGTCCACTCGCCTCTCTCTTGAAGCCATTCAGCATGAAACATCGACATTCCACCGCACCCACCTCCAGGTTCGCCCCCTTGGCTCGGTGCTCCTCAATGGTTGCTCCACCGCCTGAGAAGGCATAGCGGTTGATCTGCACAGGCCATGAGAGGGCGGGGTGGAGAGGGGGGAGGGGAAGAGCGAAAACTGTGGTGATTGTGGGGCGAAAGGCAGATGGCAGTTGACGCGAGGGAGGAGGGGTCGTGGAGGAAGGAAGGATGGATACACATGGGGATAGTGGTGGGACAACCTGGGGCACGTGGTTAGGCATTAACAGGTCATGGGTACAGCAATCCGTGACGGCGGTATCGCCAAGCCTGACCTTGTTCTTTATCTCCTTGGGCGAGTCCGTGACAAAGACTTTTGAGGCGCCTCAAAAGCCTTACCTTGTTCTTTATCTCCTTGGGCGCCTCAAAAGCCTTACCTTGTTCTTTATCTCCTTGGGCGCCTCAAAAGCCTTACCTTGTTCTTTATCTCCTTGGGCGCCTCAAAAGCCTTACCTTGTTCTTTATCTCCTTGGGCGAGTCCGTGACAAAGACAGCCGAGTTGGGGTCACTGGCGCTCATCTTGCCACTCTCGCCCTGCACGCAGCAGAGGGGGATGTGGAGAGATGCGGAGAGGGGGAGGAGGGGAGTACGGGCAGTGGAAGCAAGGTGAGACTTGAGGTGGCGGAGAGAGTGAGAGAGCATACATGGGTCATGGGTGGGGGGATGGGGTCATGGGATGGGTGGGGGGATGGGGTCATGGGATGGGTGGGGGGATGGGGTCACTGGCGCTCATCTTGCCACTCTCGCCCTGTGCATAGGAGAGGGATGAGTGCAGGGAGAGGGGAGAGATGAGAGTACGGGTGGTAAAGGCAAGGTGGTTACCAGTGCGCTGGAGAGAAAACAAGTGCACAATGCCCCCCGTCATCCCTCGTTACCCTCCCACATCCCTCATTACCCCACACCAACCCCTATTGCCCCCCACCACCTCCTGTTCCCACCCACCGCCCCCCGTTACCCCCCACCACCGCGCTGTGCGCACCTGTGGGGGGAAGAAGCGCGACTCAATGAGCGCTGGCTTGTGGAAGCCCAGGCAACCTTTCCTGCAGCCACACCATCCCCATCACCCCCACCACTCCCCACCACCCCACACCACCGCTCACCACCCCCCATTATCCCACCCCAGCATCCCCCATCACCCCCACCACGGGCCCCCTCTGACCTGCAGGGCGGGGAAGAAGCGCGACTCGATGAGTGCGGGCTTGTGGAAGGCCAGGCGCGGAGCACAGTCACGTGTCATGCGGAAATAGGGGTCCTAGCAGGGGGAGGGGGCAGGGGGAGATAGAGGACGGGGGATATGAGTGCATCAGAAGCCCAGAAACATGGGGATGTGGAAGCCCAGGCTTGGCATGGCATGGCATGGCATGGCATTGGTGGCATGGCATGGCATGGCATGGCATGGCATTGGTGGCATGGCATGGCATGGCATGGCATGGCATTGGTGGCATGGCATGGCATGGCATGGCATGGCATGGCATTGGTGGCATGGCATGGCATGGCATGGCATGGTTCACAGTGCACACACCTGGTCGATGGCGTGGGGGATGAGGCAGCGCACTTCGTTCTTGCGGCCGAACAGGTGCGGGAAGGACGAGGGGCACGCTGGGGCAGCCTGGGAGGTTGGGGTGCCAGCGAGAGCAGAGAGACAGTGAGGATGGGAGAAATGTGCCGGTGAGACAGTTGGTGTCGGTAGAATGGAGAGAGCGGCAGCGAGGGTGGTCGGGGGATTGGAGGGCATGTGAGAGGGAGGGGAAGAGGGTGGGGGTGAGGGTGGGGGTGAGGGTGAGGGTGAGGGTGGAGGAGAGGTGGAGGAGGGTGGGGGAGAGTGGAAGAGGGTAAGGGTGGGTTGGGGAGAGGGTGGCACCTGAACGGGAGGGAAGCCCACTTTGCCGATGCAATCCTCACCGTCGAATCCAAAGATGCCCCGTGCCTGATGCCATGACACGTAGCACACAATAACAGTGATATGATGTGATATGATGTGACAAGATTTTGATTTGGCAAAATACTGGAGAAACAAAGTGGTAACATGAGAGCAAATAAACTGAATCCTTGGCCAACTTCTGACTAAAATCCTCAACAATCAGGCAGTCAGAGATTGGCGCCTTGCCTGGTTGAGAGTGACACATCGAGCGATCTTCACAATGTTTTGATAGAAGTCCCTGCCATGCCACCACACAACCATGCACGCGCACACAATCCAATTCAGGTCGCACCAGTTGAACGTTGTTTCAAAACGTCAAGCCGTCATGCAATGATGGTCCCACCCCACGCACCCCCTCCTTAAAGAGAACGCACCCCCTCCTTAAAGAGAACGCACCCCCTCCTTAAAGAGAACGCACCCGCCCACGTAGTCAAAGTCACGCATCATTCCCCACGACGATGAAGGTCCTTGACACGTCAAAGCCGCACACAATGATGTCCTTGGCGTTCTCCCTCACACTCACTCACGCCATGCCATGCCATGCCATGCCATGCCATGCCATGCCACGGCTGACCATCCAGCCCACCCGGTCCTCCCACGAAACTCACCCGCCCACATAGTCCAAGTCACAGAAGATAAAGGTCCTTGCAACATCAAACCCGCACGCAATGATGTCCTTGGCATCCTCCCTTCCACATACTCAACGCTGCCTCGCTCATCTTCTCTACCCCCAACCCAGCCATCACACACCCGCCCACATAGTCAAAGTCACAGAAGATGAAGGTTCGTGAAACGTCAAACCCGCACGCAATGATGTCCTTGGCGTTCTCCCTCGCCAGCCGCCGTGCCTCCTCCACACTCATGCTCTTCCACAGATACTTCTCGTCGTCGGTCAGCTGGATGACCAGAGGGACTTTAAAGGCCTCTTGAAGCCACCTGGAGGGGTGAGAAAGAAAGACAGGCTGCGTCAATCAACCCCCCCTCCACACTCATGCTCTTCCACAGATACTTCTCATCATCAGTCAACTGAATCACCAGAGGGACCTTGAACGCCTCTTGAAGCCACCTGAAGGTGTGTCAAGGAGACGGACCGAAAGAAAGAAACTGAGGCAATTAACCCTTCCCTTCCCCCCCTCCACACTCATGCTCTTCCACAGATACTTCTCGTCGTCGGTTAAATGAATCACCAGAGGGACCTTGAATGCTTCTTGTAGCCACCTGGGGGTGTTGAGTAAGTGAGGAGCGTTGAGAGGGTGAGGAAGATGATAAGTAGCTGTGGCAGTCACCCCCTCCTCCGCACTCACGCTCTTCCACGGATACTTCTCGGCATTGGCTAACGCCGAGAAGCATCTGCGGAAGACTAGAGGGGCTCTGAGATTTCAGCAGCTACTGGTGTCATGATTCTAATGCGTGTCCAGACTCAAGACTCAAGACGCACAACTCATGAACCCAACGCGCGGCTCACTTGGTGAACATGAAGGGAATGAGGTGACCCAGGTGCAGTCTACGCAGCAGCTACCAGCGTCGAGACTCCACCACGAGTCCCTGACTCACGACGCACGATCACGACTCACAGCTCATGTCGCACAAACTCACGACCCACGACGCGCGGCTCACTTGGTGAACATGAAGGGGATGAGATGACCCAGGTGCAGCGCCTCGGACGAGGGGCCTCGCCCCGTGTACAGGTAGAACCGCTCTCCCTTCTCCACGGCGTCTAGAATCTTGTCGAAGTCGCTGTGAAGGGATAGAGGGGTGGGGAGGGGTAGAAGGGGATACCGGGGGGTAGGGTAGGATTGGCGGGGTGGAACGGGGAAGCAGAGGGGGGCGGGAGAGGTTGAAAGGCGGGCGGGAAGGAGGGGAATGGGAGACCAGGGGAAGGGGGCGCGGGCGGGAGGAGCGCGCCGGACGCTAGCCGCTGTGGTAGGCGCACCGGTGCGCGAAGAAGATGCCGCGGCGGAGGAACGGGTGCGCGCGCACGCCGGTGAGCTTCTCCATACGCGATACAAGCGGGGGTTCGAGGCGCTGGCAGCCGAACTGCTCGATAAGCTTGTTGTAGTCGATACCGCCCCCGGACGACACCTCCCACGGCGTCACCACCTGCTCCGCCCCCGCCTCCCCCGCGCTCTGTTGCTCCGCATTCTCCCCGCCTGCGCTGGCCGCGCTCGCCTCCGCGGGCGCGGGGGCTGCGGTGGCAGGATCGGCGCCGGTCATTGAGCGCGGACGAGGAGGAAACGGCGTGTTGGGAGGAGGACGCGCCGCGCGAATTGAGGATGACAGAAGGACAATGCGGGCACGTGAGGTAGGGCTGGTGTCGTCGTGCAAACAAGTGGATGCTCGATGATTCGTGGATCATCTGCAGTGGGTTTCGGGTTTGTGACGGGCTTTCGTACTCGATAACGTAAGCATTTGACAGTCGCGGAACAATTGTGCAACTAGAAAAAATGTGTGAAGTATAGATTATGGAGCCATAACTCAGCAATTTTTTCTTCAACTATATTGAATCACAGATTGACATGGCTTTGATTATTCAACAATAGATTCCAATCCAAAATATTGCAAACTTCAATCATTTTTAGCCCTTGCTACAAAATCAACGCCCTTGTCAATGCTTGCCTTGAGCTCAGGCTTCAACTTGTCCAACCACACCCTGCAAGCACAGCGAAAGAAAGAGAGGAACAGCAGAATGACAACAATGGCGGACAACAATGGCGGCGCGTAAAACCTGGGCTGGAGGCATCTCTTTTGAAGGCGTCGATTCTCTGATCGCCTCGACACCTAGTTCTGCAAGCATGTGAGTAACCATTACTAGGATACAAGGGAGGTTCAAAACCACGAATTCACGTTCACACAGGGGGGAACTCACCGCTCATACTGAGTCATGGGCCCTAGCCCTAGCACCTCCTCCACTCCTTGCCGCCCCAGCACCACTCGCGAGGCAAAGAATGGCAGCTCCGTCACCTGCTCATGCACGGCAGAGGGTGGTGATGGGGGTGGGAGGGGGCGGGGCTTTAGAGTCTTGACTCAAGAAGCACCTTGTTACAACAGCACACGAGGCAAAGAATGGCTTAGTCAGCTGCTCATGAATAGCAGGGGGTGGTGGTCGTGGTGCCGGAGTGAGGGGTTGACAGAGGTGGGAGTCAATTCACATGCTACCGGCTTGCCTTGATGCAGAGACACGGGCACACAGGCACGGGCACACAGGCATGGGCATGGGTATGGGAAATGGCGTGGGTGTGGGTACAGGCACGGGAATGGGTATGGGAAATGGCGTGGGTGTGGGTACAGGCACGGGCATGGGTATGGGAAATGGCGTGGGTGTGGGTACAGGCACGGGCATGGGCACAGGCAGGTGCATGAGAATGAGCACGTGGCAGTGGCGACTGACCGTGGATTGCACGAAGGCGCACTCCACAATGCCCGCCTCCCCCCGCATGGCCCGTAGACATGCCTGCGCGAACTTGGCCGCTGCATACGCCTGTGCACGGGGAGGGATAGATGGGACGGGAGGGAGCGGACACCAAGGAGGAATGGGGTGGGTGAGTGGGCGTTGAGTTGAGCAGTACGAGTTAAACAGAATATGGGTTGGTTGTGTTGAGAGGGTCATATCAGCTCACGTGGTGGCGGTGGCATGCAATGACTGAGTTGGGGTCTATCTGCTGCTTGCAGCAGAGTTGGCTTTAAGTTAGCACAACATGATGCAGGTTATCATGGGCGTGGCTTGTTGGTATTTTGTTTTTATCCTCAGAATTCAACTACTATTTCTTGGTAGACGACAAAACACGATGGGAAGGGTCTCACCATGGACAGGGTGGCAGAACCAGCGCCGGCTTTGGCCTGCAGCAACGCACGGAGGGAGGGGAACAGGGGGCAGGGAGACAGGATCGGCATACGCAGGGCACTGCGATAAATGCGCATTGCACAATCATGCAAAATTGTGCTGTGCAAAAAAAACAGATTTGTTTTTGCATGTGCTGGTAACAAACATGGTGATAAATCGTGGTTAGGTTGGCAAATTCTGTTTGTGCAAAGCGTTTTGCAAGTGATGGCATCCACACGGGAAGCACAGTGTAGACACGGTTCACCTGGCTACAAAACTGCTTGTGCCCCCACACTCACCTCGACGACCTCCGTGCCTCCGTTTTGGATTCTGTTGGTCAGTTGGTCTAGCTCCTCCTGACTGAAGCTCACCGCAGGTGTCACCTGCACACACCGCACACACAGCACACACCGCGTACACCCCACACACAGAACACACCGCACACACAGACAGCACACAGCACACGCCACAGACACAGTAGGCGACACACAGTCAGCATTGACCTCTCCATTGAGCAGCTACAGCTATGGGAGCCATTGTGAAAATGGGAGCAGGGGGCGCCTGAGGAAGCAGCTACGGCTACGGGAGTGAGTGTAAATATGCGAGCAGTCATACCTGCGAGAGCAGCGGCAGGATGGTGATGCCTGCATGGCCGCCCACCACTGGCACGTTCACTTCCTCGGGATTCAGCCCCAGCACCTCCGCCTGCCGTGCCACAGGCGCAGAAAAATTGCACAGGATACACGGGAGTTTTCACAAGGGAGGTTCTTAAGGCGCCTCATAAATGCATGTGATTCGCTGCTACTCCATACAACCATCCCGCAAGCTCCATCACATTCAGGGAACGTACCACGAAGGTGTTGGCGCGGACCACGTCGAGCGTCGTGACGCCCATCAGCTTGCGCGGATCGTACGTCCCCGCGCGCCGGAACACCTCCGCGGCGATCGCGACCGTCGAGTTCACCGGGTTGCTGATAATGTTCACGACGGCGCGCGGGCAGTGCTTCGCGATTCCCTCGCAGAGCGTCTTGACGATGCCGGCGTTGATCTTGAACAGGTCGTCGCGCGTCATGCCCGGCTTGCGCGGCACGCCCGCGGGGATGATCACCAGGTCCATTCCGTCTAGCGCCGCGCCCAGCTGGTCATTGCCCAGGAACCCGCGCACGACGGCGGAGGTGCTGGTGTGGCTGAGGTCGGCCGTGACGCCGGGCGTGTTGAACACGTCGTACAGGTGCAGCACCGATACAAGCGGATTCATCTTAAGCAGCAGCGAGAGTGGTTGCCCGATGCCACCCGCCGCGCCCAGCACGGCGACCTTGAAGCCGCCGCTGCTGCCCTTGGCGCGCGTGACGTTCATGCTGAGCCCACCATCCTGCGCGCAAGGCCAACAAAGGAATTTTCTATAATGTCACACATCGCTCTTCATACCGTAATGCTCGGTATTGGATAACTGATTAAGTGTAATTAACGAAAAAAAAAATCAATAAAAGACCATTACGAAAACGGATGATGCGAGCAGCAGGGCGACGCGGGTGAATTCCAATGCACGCCAAAAGAGCACGCGATGCGTGAGACGAGACAGTGGCTACTCACGCTGGTCGACACGGGCGGGCAGATGTGCGAGGCGATGCGGTTGATTCGGTTCAACGGACTCATGGTGAGATGCGCGGCTGACGAGACGACTGACGAAGACGACTGGCGTAGGGCTAGTAACGGCCTTTGTTCTAGCCTCGCGTGGTACTGGGACTATGCGGGAGGAGTAACACAGCGACAGGGAAGATATGAAAGCCTACTGCTGTTGCCAAGTGTGCTAGGGCTGCTATGCGTTCGCAAAATGAATGCCAGAAGTAGGAATATCCGGGGCTTATGTGCTTTTGAATGGCTTCAGGCTGCCAGCCTCCGCCTCAGTCAGTCCCCTCCCAAGACTGAATTTCGAAATCGAAATTCATGAGTCAGGCTGGTTGGTTCATGCAAATGCATCATGCGTGCACTGGGTTTCGGTTTCGGTTTCGATTCGCTTCCACATGGATCATTGCCCCGGGAAAAGGAGACCACTTGAGCTGGCAAGTCGCCTGACTGATGTGTGTGTGTGGTCCCAGCAGTCTTTCCAGAAGACCCATGCTGACGTGATCCTGGACTCGTTCAGGCAGGTGCTGAAAAGTGATGTCACGTCAGCAAAGGCTGATGTGGACTTGGGAACCTCTGTAGTCCCTAGTGGCAGCCGCGCTATCGTGTGGACTCGTTTCAGTGTGGGCCATTTCACATTACACTAGCATACAGAACGTTTACACGAAAGGTTTATCCTTTCAAATTTGGCCTTCCTGACACTTGGGGATTGCCGAGCCATCCGTACCTGTGAATGGACCAATGGCGATAACTCGAGCCTTGTTCCACACGCTGGCTGAGGCTGTGCCTGTCCTGTGTGCTGGCCGCACCTGCGCGTCGTCTCAGTTGATCATACATATGTGCAACAGAGCTGTTTCTTTGGCTATTGTCGGAAACCAGGGTGCCTGTCAACGCTAACTAACAGCCGTCCTACCTCATAGTTCCCGCAGATCAGAGACCTGCCGTTGCCTGCGCCGTCTCGCTGCTCTTTCGTCTCGGCAGCACCGGCGATCCTTAGCTGATTCATCCTGAATCCTAACGGAACCTCCGCCTGAATCCGCCTGGCATCACGCCTGGTAAATTCGCATCTCACAAATATACCCGTATCCGCAAATTCGCATATCCGCAGAGCATTCTAGGACTTCGCCGTTAGAAAGCGTGGCCTTTCAGATATTCTCCACGTTGACTCGATTCTGCTTCGAACAGTTTCAAACCGCTTTCGAACAGTTTCAACCAGTTTGAACCAGTCCAGAAGCGTGCGGAGCAGCGCGCGCGAGGATGAGTCGTCAGATGTGCGGCGAGTGCAAGCGCAACACGGAGCTGGTACACGACCACGCTGCGGGCGACCTCATCTGCGCCGAGTGCGGCCTCGTCGTCGAGGCGCACAGCGTCGACGAAACTTCCGAATGGCGTACTTTTTCTAACGAAGCCGCTAATACCGACCCCGTGCGTGTCGGCGGGCCGACAAATCAGCTGCTGACAGATGGCGGGCTGACGACGATGATCAGCGCCGGGAAGAACGGGCAGGGCGGGGGGGATCTCCCCGGGCGGAAAGGGTGGGCCAGCCAGGGCTCGAACCCGGACCGGGACTTGATAAACGCGTTTCAGTCGATAGGCGACATGGCGGACAGGTGAGACGCCGCTAGGGAGAGAGGGACTTGAGGGAAAGTGGGAAGGATGGCCGAGGTCACGGGTTCGAATCTTGAGGGTGACCTGATTACCACAGTTTAGGCGATCAGCGACATGGCGGGCAGGTGAGGGGCGTTGGGTGGTGGACATGCGAGGGTGGCGAGGGAGGCTGGAAAAGGTGACAAGAAGGTGGGCAGATGGGTTTGGCGTGTGGGTTAAGAGAAGTGGCTCCGTAGGATAGCAGAGAACGGTGAGCTATCAGAGACCCACGACCAGCCATCAGTGAGCGACATCAACGATCGGATGTGCTGGTGGCCTGTAACATGTCAGATTCAATTGCGGTATGGTGATTGGCAGACATCGCATGTCTGAACCCACAGCCATCAACCAGCATGGCACCAGCACGAGCCATTCAATTGTTTCTCCCTCCCCGCCCATTCCCTGCGCCCCCGTTTACCCCCCCTACCTTGTTCGCTCCCTCCATCATGTAACCTGGTAACCACCTCGGCCCACCCAACTTCGCCTGTGCTCACCTCGCCGCGTCGCCACCGCCGTGCCATGCACACGTGTGTGGAATGCGACGTGGGCCGGCTTCTGACATTGCAGACTGGGCCTCGTAGCCACTATCCGGGTAGGCCTCTTCCTCCTCGGCCCTCTTTGTCTCTCCTCGTCCTCCTTGTCCCTCCTCGCCCCTCCTTATCCCTCCTCGTCCCTCTTTTTCCCCCCTTGTATCTCCTCGCACCTCCTCCCCCTTGCTCTCTTCTTCATCATCTGAACGTCCTAGGACCATGTGCCTCCCCCTCTCACCCCCATATTTTGTAATCTGTGTTCGCCCCTCCCAGGACCGTGCGAACGAGATACTCAAGATGGTGCACGACTTGGACTTGAAGAGTATCCCCCTCACATCCCTACTACACCTTTCCCCCTCTTTCCCCATACCCTCGCATTGTGCTTGCCCCTACCAGGACCGTGCGAACGAGATATTCAAGAAGGTGCACGACTTGAAGAGCATTCGCGGGCGCAGCAACGAGGCCACGTATGCTGCTTGCCTTTACATCGCATGCCGGCAGGAGGACAAGCCACGTACCTTCAAAGGTGAGTGGGGGGGGGTTGGGTGCGAGGAGTGCAGATCTGGAAACCAAAGTTGCTGGTGCTGTCAGCCCTCGCATGCCCTCACGTGCCCTCCCACCCTCACGTGCCCTCCCACCCTCACGTGCCCTCCCACCCTCACGTGCCCTCCCACCCTCACGTGCCCTCCCACCCTCACGTGCCCTCCCACCCTCACGTGCCCTCCCACCCTCACGTGCCCTCCCACCCTCACGTGCCCTCCCACCCTCACGTGCCCTCCCACCCTCACGTGCCCTCCCACCCTCACGTGCCCTCCCACCCTCACGTGCCCTCCCACCCTCACGTGCCCTCCCACCCTCACGTGCCCTCCCACCCTCACGTGCCCTCCCACCCTCACGTGCCCTCCCACCCTCACGTGCCCTCCCACCCTCACGTGCCCTCCCACCCTCACGTGCCCTCCCACCCTCACGTGCCCTCCCACCCTCACGTGCCCTCCCACCCTCACGTGCCCTCCCACCCTCACGTGCCCTCCCACCCTCACGTGCCCTCCCACCCTCACGTGCCCTCCCACCCTCACGTGCCCTCCCACCCTCACGTGCCCTCCCACCCTCACGTGCCCTCCCACCCTCACGTGCCCTCCCACCCTCACGTGCCCTCCCACCCTCACGTGCCCTCCCACCCTCACGTGCCCTCCCACCCTCACGTGCCCTCCCACCCTCACGTGCCCTCCCACCCTCACGTGCCCTCCCACCCTCACGTGCCCTCCCACCCTCACGTGCCCTCCCACCCTCACGTGCCCTCCCACCCTCACGTGCCCTCCCACCCTCACGTGCCCTCCCACCCTCACGTGCCCTCCCACCCTCACGTGCCCTCCCACCCTCACGTGCCCTCCCACCCTCACGTGCCCTCCCACCCTCACGTGCCCTCCCACCCTCACGTGCCCTCCCACCCTCACGTGCCCTCCCACCCTCACGTGCCCTCCCACCCTCACGTGCCCTCCCACCCTCACGTGCCCCCTCACGTGCCCTCCCACCCTCACGTGCCCCTCCCCCCTCACGTGCCCTCCCACCCTCACGTGCCCTCCCACCCTCACGTGCCCTCCCACCCTCACGTTGCCCTCCCACCCTCACGTGCCCTCCCACCCTCACGTGCCCTCCCCACCCTCACGATGCCCTCCCACCCTCACGTGCCCTCCCACCCTCACGTGCCCTCCCACCCTCACGTGCCCTCCCACCCTCACATGACCTCTTCCCCTCATATGCCCCGCCTCACTGGCACGTGACGTGTCACTCTCCCTCCACCACACGTGCAGAGATAGGGTCAGCAGGCAACAACATATCAAAGAAGGAGATAGGCCGAGCGACCAAGTTTATAGTGAAGCAGCTAGAAGCGGATATGGGGGCGGTGGACATGGGAGCGGTCAATGCAGGCGACTTCATGGTGAGTCGGCTCTTCCCCATGATGAGTGAGTGGGGGCCCCCTGGGAGGGACCTCACATACGTGAAGCGGATTTGGGGGCCGTGGACATGGGAGCGGTCAATGCAGGCGATTTCATGGTGGGTAGTAGGCGGTTTTAGTATAAGCAAGTGCGGTTTCAGTATAAGCAGGTGCGGTTTCAGTATAAGCAGGTGCGGTTTCAGTGTAAGCTGGTGCGTCGACTCAAAAACTCTTTCTCCTCTACCCCCCCTGCGTCACCACCACTCACCCCTCACTTCCCTCACCCGCTTCTCCTCCCCCCTGCTTCTCCTCTCTTCCCTCCTTTTCCTCCCCCTGTCCCCCCCCTGCAGCGGCGCTTCTGTTCGCATCTGGGCATGAAGGGAGCGCCAGTGCAGGCGGCAGTAGGGGTGGTGCAGAGCACAGAGCAGATCGACATGCCCTTGTCCCTCAGTGTCACCACCACTCACCCTCACTCCTCTCACCCCCCACGCCCCCTTTCTCCACCCCATCCCCCCGTTCCCCCTGCAGCGGCGCTTCTGCTCGCATCTGGGCATGAAGGGGGCGCCAGTGCAGGCAGCAATAGAGGTGGTGCAGAACACAGAGCAGATTGACATCCGCACCAGCCGAGCGCCCATCTCCAAGGCCGCTGCCGCCATCTACATGGTCACTCAGCTCTGCAGCAACCCCGTGCCCACCAAAGGTAGTGTATGGATTATTGTGCCATGGTTGTGTCTGGTGCTGGTGGTGTATGCGCACGAGCAGAGCGCCCATTTCCAAGGCTGCTGCTGCCATCTAAATGGTCACTCAGCTCTGCAGCAACCCCGTGCCCACCAAAGGTGAGCGGCATGCGAGACACCTGCTGTTGCGAGGTGCACGCCAGTGTCGCATGCAAGGTACACGTGCGTGCATTGGAGTCTCGTTCTTTTCAAGGTGCACGGTGCAATGCCTTTGCCTCGTCCCCTTCCCTCTTCCTGTTGGGTTCTCTCGTCCCTCCGTTCCTGCTCCTCGCCTCTCCCACCTCCCATGTCCCCCTGGCCACAGACATGTTGCATTGCAGGTAACAGGGATGGCAGAGAGTGGCACCATGTGCACCAGCTATGAGGGCCTTTCCGTTTCTCTCCCCTCTCCTCCTCAAATGCTTCTCTTCCTCTTGCCTTTCCACTCCCCCTTGCCGCCAGACATATCGCGCGCAAGGGCGTGGCTGAGGGGACTTTTGAGTCGACTCAAAAGTCACTTTCCACCCCCCCTTGCCGCCAGACATATCACACGCAAGGGCATGGCTGAGGGTACCATCCGCAACACCTACAAGCACCTGCTCCCCTTCAACCTGCCATTTCCCATCCTAATTCTCCATTCCCTACCTGCCTGTCATTCGCCTTTCGCTTCAATCCCCCTACCTGCAGATATATCGAGGGCAACGGGAGTGGCAGAGGGCACCATCCGCAAACACGTACAAGGACCTGCTGCCCTCCCTTCCCCCTTCACGTCTCCTCTTCCTCCTGCACCTGTTCATCTCCTCTCCCCTTGCATTCCCCCTCCCCCCTTTCTGCAGACATATCGAGGGCAACGGGAGTGGCAGAGGGCACCATCCGCAACACGTACAAGGACCTGCTGCCCTTTGCCTCGCGCCTGCTGCCCGAGTCATACGCCAAACCAGAGGACATTGCCAAGCTCTCCCCCTCGTAGCCCACTTGCCTTGCTGCCACTCACAGTCGTCTTCTCTGCATGTTCTGGGTGACGTGACGGCACATGTGAGAGTTGCAAAAGCGACTTCAGTAGTGCTCCCTGACGGGACAACCCTTCATCGCAGCGGTTTCTGACTGAGGCGCTGCAAAAGAAAACACCCAGCTTCATTTTGGGGAGAGTTTATTCTTCAGGTTGTGCTTGCTGTGATTGAGAAGAGAGCGTGTTGTACACTGTACACTGTGATTAAGAAAGCATTGTACAATATATAAACCGAGGCAGCCATGTGGGCGAGCTATCTTCTCCCTTTGTTCTTTACCCATTCCATCTCGCCGGCACAGATGTTTGTATCGTTACAGTGTGCAGTGCGCAAGCCGTGTCTGAAGCGCTGTATATCCTGAGAGAACGTGGAGGCAACAGAGCCAAAGAACACGGTAGCCTGCACACACACCAGCTTCTCTAGCACCGATGCTGCAATGCCGATGTTCCTGCTGTCGCTCACAATGGAAGCTAATGGTGTAACCCAATCATCGAACTGATTTTGACCTTCAAACTCTGGGTTATTGCTGGTGTTGGTGCTGCTGCACATGCTGCTGGTGATGGTGACTGTGGCACCGTTAGTGGCATTAGTGTATGTGACGATAACGGGGGGTTTATCCAGGGTGCCGGTGAGGGGTGGAAGGCGGTGGAAGGTGATGCTGGTGGGAGTGATGCGAGCTATATTGCGGGTGAGCTCCTGCAGCTGCCAGGGTGTGAGGGGGTGGGAAGTGGGCAGAGAAGGAACTTCTGATGGCTCTATGGGAGAGCCATGCATGCTTCAGGGCTCTGATCCGCAATGAAATGGCACTGCGAGGGTAACCAGACCAGAGGGAAAAGCAGAAACGACTTCACAGCAGGATCTTGCTCACAAACTCACCTGCTTGCTCGTGGCTTTCTACAACGCTCACAAACTCACCTGCTTGCTCGTGGCTTTCTACAACGCTCACAAACTCACCTGCTTGCTCGTGGCTTTCTACAACGCTCACAAACTCACCTGCTTGCTCGTGGCTTTCTACAACGCTCACAGCTCACCTTCTTGAGCCTGGGATATGCCACAGTCTCCCCTCCTGCATCCCACACTAATCACTGTACAGAGAGCATGGCACTGCCTCTATCACCTTTTCACTCTGCCATGCATGCATGCACGCACGCACGCATGCTCACCTCCTTGAGCTTGGCGTTGGTGGCAAGGAACAGCTCTTGAATGCCGCTCTCCCTCACCCTCTCCACCACCCAATGCGCCACCTGGGACGCACCAGAGCCAGTAACCATGTTACCACGTGTTATTACGAAGCAGGTTCAACAAGAGATATCTAGCAACGCGGCACCACAGCTCCCTGCAGACGTGGTTTGGAACTACGCTTGCTTCAGTTCAGACTGTGTTGAGCCTCCTTAAGAAAAAAAGAGGGAGAACCTCTCCTGAAGGCAATAAAACCAACCCAAACTGTGCATGTCACCTGATGCACGGGGTAGAAGCAAGCATGTTTGGGCCCGCGCCAGAAGCACCAGGGCTTGAAGTCGCCCCGCCGCCAGTGTAGTGCCAGGAACGGCCGCCCCCCAAACAGCCGCCCCACCAGCAGCTCAGCGCTCTCCAGCAGCGCGGGGCGCGGGCGCAGGAGGAGCGGCGAGGGGCAGGCGGCGGAGCGGCGGAAAGGCAGGTCGAGAAAGGGCTGCTGCTGTGCTGTGATGGTGGTGGTGGTTCCATCAGCAGGGGACTGCTGAGGCGTTTCTCCATCCATGTTTTCCTCCACTTGTGCAGGAGGCTCATGTGTGGCGCCCCCTGTTAAAGTCCCTTCATGTGCGTGAGAGACGTGCAGGTTGAGCAGGTCGCCCACCACAAGCACGGGGGAGGGGTTGCTGCCCCAGGCACGCAGCACCTGGCGGGTCAGTGCGGGATTTAAGGGAGGGGAAAATGCGGATGGAAGATGGGAGACGTGCAGGTTGAGTGGGGCCCCCACCACAAGCACAGGCGCAGGGTTGCTGCCCCAGGCATGCAGTACCTGGTACGAAGGTGAAGAGAGGAGGAATGCGAGTGAGTATACGAAGCAGACACATGTGGGAAAGCAAGTGAGTGCGAGGCACTGACCTGCTGTGGAGAGGCGAGCATGGGCAGGCAGGCAGCGTGGGTGGTGGTGTTGGGAGGCAAATGCACGAGAGGAGAGCGGAAGAGCGAGTGGGAGACTGGCACTCGTGTGTCGAATACAACCCCTGGCGTGCCTGCTGCCATCCCACTCCCACCATCGCTTGCCATCCCACCAGCAGCACCATTATCACCATCATCACCAGCTGCATCACCATCACCAACAGCAGCGCCATCAGCAGCAGCAGCGTCATCATTCCCACCGCTCCCGCTCCCATCATCTCGCCTCATCTCGTCAAGACCAGGGCAGTGCAACAGAATGTTATCAACCTGATCCGCACATGCCCCAGGGGGGCCGTGCCAACACACCACCTGAGACACCTGAACAGGCCGCCTGAATTTTCTCCTGAACTCAGCAGTGGTGAAGACGGTGGGGCCGATGCACGATCTGAGATAAGCGAGGTCGAGCACTAAGTGCAGGTCGTAGTTGAGGATGGTTTCAGAGCGGTGGAAAGGGATTAAGAGGGTGCGGTTGAGCAGGCCTGCAAGCAGCATGTGGTTGCGCAGGCAGAGCAGACGGTTGGTGATCTGCGTGTGTGAGGATGTGAGGGAGAGATCAACACAGATAGGGACGGGATGAGTGTGGCTCACATAAACGTGCAAACCGAACAACGGGTCTTACCTCTCTCTCACACCTCGCATATCTCTCAGAATGGTCAAAGATCGCGCATTTCTGACCTGCCCTCGCACGCAGTGGGCCAGGAGGAACCGGTTGCTTGCAGGCGTCCACCTCACAGTGCCACGTGTCAGCGCGCCCTGCTCCCACGTGGCATTGAAGAGCGCACCTGACCCCTCGGCGCATTCCTGCAGCAACGGGTGGCTGCGGGGAGGGTGTGAGGGGGAAGCGAGACGGCCAGGACGGGGCGAGAGACGGATTGACCGAGGGACTGAAGGGTGTAGACGGGATCGAGGTTGGGGGAAGAGATGCGGAACACGAGGGAGCGGAGGAAACGAGGGAAGCGGTTGGTGAAAGGAGAAAGACGAAAGGAGAAAGGAGCAAAAAAGGAGAAAGACGAAAGGAGCCAGGGCGTGGGAGAGGCGGGAGGAGAAAGACGCACGTGTTGAAAGCTGATTGGGTGCGCCGCAGAATGCACGCCACGACGGCCAATAGGAGCAACGGAAACGCCGTCCAGTTCATGGCAAGTGTCCGACGAACCAGGGGTAACACCTGGTTACCAGCGACATTGGCCAAATGGCGAGAAAACTGCGAATAAGGAATGCTGAGACGGCTTCATGAGAAAGAATGAACTCGCCGATTGGGAGACTGCAGTGAATCAAGGTGAATCAGGGTTACGTGGGTGGTAATCATTAATTTCAACAGCACACCGAGCATCTCTACTAGGGTGTCTCGTTATCAACGCTAATGCGTCCAACCTGATCTGGTGAGCCCGTGGTATATAAATAAGAAATCCATGCTATTGTGGTGGAGGGATGAAAAAACAACCGGAATCCGTTGCACAACTGTCCTCGCAGCGCACCTGTTAGTATCAATACTATCTATCCAGAACGATCCTAGCCCACGCTTCCTGTCGTGCGAAGCCCAGATGCGTTGGCTTGCGAAAATAATTAGTCCCTCACCTCACCATGCTGGTGGCGCTGGTGGAACTGTAGATACTGGGAGATGGATCAGGCAGGTTGGATCTAAGCATGACAGTGTTTCGGGGTTGAATGCGGTGCAAACACGAAGAGCCAGGGTCCAATCTGGTCGTTTTTTCACAAATCCTTCGCTTCCAAATTGCTGTGAGTGGAATCTTGTTACACCATCGAAGTTTCGCCACTGCCGAAATCCATGCGAGCTTCAGGGCGACTAGCTGACGAACGTCGTCGTTCCCTCATCTTGCCCAGCCCACTTCTCATCGTACCCCTGCGACCTGTTTTAGCAGCAACTTCACACCAGAACAGGATTCATGGGCTCAGCTCAGGCTCCTAGGTACTCTGAGAATTGTCCCCCATGGAAAAAATCATCATTCGCGACTTGACTTGCAGACCTAATTTTCAAATTTTCTTTTTCGCTCCTGTCGCCTAAGCAGGAGCGCGCCTTGCATCCGCTTCGCCTCGCGTGTAGCTGCAGCGTCAATCTCTCATCTGCCGACGGGCTGTCTCACGCTGATGTAGCTCTGCGATGCACTTTCCACGGAATGCCGTTTGAATTCATCTTCCCTCTCCACGACGATTTCACTGTACCGCTCATCCCTTTGGCTCGGCGCGCCTGTAGCATTAGACCCAGACACAGGCACGCCTGCCGAACCAATCGTGGTTGCCGAACCACCAGTGGTGGTTGAACCAAACGTGCCTGCCGAACCGCCAATGCCTGCCGAACCAGCCTCGCCAGCCGAACCAACGGAGAACGCTGAGAAGAGATCCCCAACCACGTTCTCGTCTTCCTCCTCCACCGTGTGAACCGTCAGCATCGCATCCAGCCGCCTCACCACGTCTTTCATTTCCGGCCGTCGGATCCCGGGCATCTTGATGCAATCAAGGGCCAGATCTGCGAGTTCGACGACGGCATCCTCTGAGGCGTCCATCCGACGGTCCTTGAGCTCCTCGAGCGAGTAGCTCTGCACCAGCGTGGTCGCCTGCGCGAAAGAAACACACATTTCGCGAAATGGGAACCGAAGGGGTTACGCATGTGCATTGTGCACCGCACACTGAAGCGCAAGACACGATCCAAAGTCATCAGGACAAACCACGGAAACAGAAATAAGCACTAACGCTGCGGGTGTGTTGCGCAATGCGGTGCACACTGAGTATCTCCAGTACGCACCCATTTGCCAATGTGCGTGCCGCCCTCCACAGTGACGCGGCGCCCGCTGAGCATTTCCAGCAGCACGACGCCGAAGCTGTAGACGTCGCTTTTGGTGGTAACCAGCTCCGTGCGATTGTAGTCCGGGTCCACATACCCCGGCGTGCCCGCCACCTTGGTCGCCCTCCCCTCGCCCTCCCCAAACTTGAGCTTCCTCAGCAGCCCAAAGTCCGCTACCTTGGCCTGAGCGGGTGGGAGAGGGGGAAGGGGGAAGTGAAGAGTAGCAAGCATGAGGCAATTCTGAGGTGGTTACAAACAAAAACGACCCCGCCCTCTCCAAACTTGAGCTTCCTCAGCAGCCTAAAGTCTGCTACCTTGGCCTGAGCGGGTGGGAGAGGGGGGGAAGTAGCAGGCATGAGGCTAATATGAGGTGGTTAAAAAAGGCGCCTTTGCCCTCTCAGCTTGAGCTTTCTCAGCAACAATAAGTCTGCTTATATTGGCCTGAGCGAGTGAGGATGGGGAAGGTGGCATGCGTGTGTTCTGAGTGCCTCAAAGAATGCACTGAGGTGTTGGCAAGGCACGGCTGCGCCGGACTCACAGTGAGGTGTGGGCACGGCACCGCTCGGCTTGGAGGCTAGAGGCTAGAGGCTCACAATGAAGTGCGGGAAAAACAAGGCTAGAGGTCAGCAGCTCACTGTGAGGTGGTGGCAAGGCAAGGCAAGGAAGGCTCAGAGGCTCACAGTAAGGTTATCCCCGACGAGGATGTTGGCGGGCTTGATGTCGCGGTGAATGATGGGATTCTCAAAGCCGTGCAGATATGCCAACCCCTCCGCTGCCCCCACCGCCAGCTTCAACCGCTGCCTCAGCGTCAGCGGCTCTGAGGAGAGAGGGTGGGGGGGGAGGGGGGAGAAAGGGGACAGAGAGAGGGTTGGGGGGGGGGGGGGGGAGAAAGGGGACAGAGAGAGGGTGGGGAGGAGGGGGAAGAAAGGGGACAGAGAGAGGGTGGGTGGACCATAGCAGAGCCTGGTTCAGATGCTGTTGAGGTGGAAGGACCGTAGGTGGCACCATGAGCGTCAGAGACTCGCTCTGCGTCTTGAAGAGGTGGAAGGAGAGGTCCCCGTGCTCGCACATGCTCCCCGTGAAAACGGGGAGCCTGTCCGATTGATTCACGGACTCACTCGTGCACCAGGACCTGCTCCTGCTTGCGCCTTGAGACGTCTCAAACCTCGAGTCGGGCACCGTAAGGGTCACACACTCACTATAACACAGCTCAGCACACACTCACTCTGCGTCTTGAAGAGGTGGAAGGAGAGGTCCCCATGCTCGACAAACTCATACACGAGGATCTGCTCCTGCTTGCCGCTCTCCATGTCCATGTCGTGGCAGAAGCCCAGTAGCCTCACCAGGTTGGCGTGATGCAGACTCGCCATCGCCCGCACCTGGGGAGGAAGTGAAGGGCACAAGCACGTGGGTTAAGGCACAAGCACGTGGGTTAAGGCACAAGCACGTGGGTTAAGGCACAAGCACGTGGGTTAAGGCACAAGCACGTGGGTTAAGGCACAAGCACGTGGGTTAAGGCACAAGCACGTGGGTTAAGGCACAAGCATGTGGGTTAGGGCACAAGCACGTGGGTTAAGGCACAAGCACGTGGGTTAAGGCACAAGCACGTGGGTTAAGGAACAAGCATGAAAGGATGAGAGGATCTGCTCCTGCTTGCCACTCTTCATATCCATGTTGTGACAAAAGCCCAGCAGCCGCACCAGGTTGGCGTGCATGATGCAGACTCGCCATGGGGGAAACTGATGGGGGAAACTGATGGGGGAAGCTGATGGGAGAGACTGATGGGAGAAACTGATGGGGGAAACTGATGGGGAAAACTGATGGGGGAAACTGATGGGGGAAACTGATGGGGGAAGCTGATGGGAGAAGCTGATGGGAGAAACTGATGGGGGAAACTGATGGGGGAAACTGATGGGAGAAGCTGATGGGAGAAACTGATGGGGGAAACTGATGGGGGAAACTGATGGGGGAAACTGATGGGGGAAACTGATGGGGGAAGCTGATGGGAGAAACTGATGGGAGAAACTGATGGGGGAAACTGATGGGGGAAACTGATGGGGGAAACTGATGGGAGAAACTGATGGGAGAAACTGACATGAGGATGATGCGCTTGACAGCCCAGAGCTGCCCCGTGGCAGGGTTGACCCCCTTGTACACGACCGCAAAGCCCCTTTCGCCCAACACGTTCTAATCCGCCCAGTGCTGCTGGGGGTGACACCCTTGTACACCACGCAAACTCCATACCCGCTACAGGCTTCCTCACCTCCGTTTCAAAGTCGTTGGACATGAGCGTGATTCTCTTGACAGCCCAGGGCTGCCCCGTGGCGGGGTTGACGCCCTTGTACACGATGGCGAAGCCCCCCTCGCCCAGCACATTCTCCTCTGCCCAGTCGTTGGTGGCCTTCCTCATTGTTGCGATGGAGAACTGCTGACACACGTCCAGGTCGCTCCAGCGCTCTGAAGGGAGGGATAGAGGGGGAGGTTGGGAAGGGAAGAGAAGAGGGAGGGTGAGGAGAGGGAGTGGGCAGGGATGAAGAGTGGTATGGACGCAGTCTATTCATTGCTCTCAGTTGCATTCTACCTTGTACGATACGAGGTAGCAAACGGGCGATGCATTGTGAGGGGCATGTGAGATTCTCAAGAACCTCGAATAAGGGAACGGAAGGGCAGTGTGGCGCGGAGGAACTTACTCCTCCGCTCGCTCGGGGCGCAGCAAGACGCAGAACGTGGAGTGGAGGAGCTTACTCTTCTTTTTGGGGCGCAGCAGCAGGCAGAGCACAGACGCCAGGAGCGCGATGCCCAGCAGGCAACTGAGACCCACGATGGCTATCATGGGGATAGAGGACGAGGTTGCTGTGGGGCACGGGAGGGTGAGGGCACCAAGGTGAGGACATGAGGGGTGAGGGAGTGTGAAGGACGTGAGTGGGTTGAGGAGCCTCAAGGCAAGCAAAGCAGAACGATTCCCAGGTGGGAGATGAGACTCGCAATGACTGCTATGGGGCAGGGGAGGGTGAGGTCACGAGGGCAAGGGAGTGTGAAGGAGCCTGAAGACAAGCAGAGCACAACTTGGGCAGGGGAAGTGTGGAGGCTGGTACTGTGCTTCTGTTGACGTTTGGCATGCACTGAAGGAGCCTCAAGGCAAGCAGAGCATGGCTTGGGCATGGCACGCAGCTGACCTGAGAAGGATGCTTCAAGAAGTGACTTCAGTATTGGCCACGCAAAGCACTGAGAGGGATGCACCCGACGGCTGCTGTTGAGGCTGCTGCCTCACACAGACACCACACTCGCCAGCAGACCCGGAATTCGCATTTGAGGCGCCTCCGAGGCAGGAGGCTCACTCTCAGTTGCAAAGGCACACTCTTGAGGTGCCTCAAAAGAGGCAGGAAAACTCACTCTCATTGGCGAAGGCACAGGTGGAGCCGTTGTCAACGGTGATAGTGACGTAGGACTCCTCACACAAGCACCTCACACAAGCACCAGAACTCACCTGAACTGTCCAGAATCCAGTGGACCTTGCATTGCCTTTTGGGCTGATTACTCACTCTCTGTGGCAAAGGCACAGGTGGAGCCGTTGACAACCGTAACAGTGACGTAGAGCACGCCTCACACAAGCACCTCAACTCGCCTGAACTGTCCAGTGGGCCCTGAATTGCCTTTTGACCTTTTCTCTGGTTGCTTTGAGCTGATTACTCACTCTCAGTGGGGAAGGCACATGTGGAGCCGTTGTCAACAGTGACAGTGACGTAGGGCGCCTCACACCTGCACTTGAACGCCCCCCCACTCGTCCCCTGCTCGGGCGGCACACACGCCCCCCTCCCATTGCACGGCCCCAGGTCTGTCACACTGCAGAACGCCGCGCACTCCTCTGCACCCCTCTGCACCTCCGTCACAGCGCACTTAACCTGCCTGTTCACCGACAGACAATTGCCCTTATAGCTCGCCTGCACAGTCGCATACGCCGCAACGCACTGCACAGCCTCTAGAGCCGAGTCAGATTCGCTGCGCTTGCTACCCCCGGCACTATCCCCCAAACTATTGAGATCAGACATGTTGATTCGGGTGATGCGGGGGGTGGGGCACGCCTTAAAGCCCCCCGCGTACACGATGGGGTCGCCGTAAAAGTAGTTGTGGGCGAGGTTGATGACCGCTGGCTTGGTGTAGCCGCTGGTGGGCTTGGGGACCATGCCGACAAAGTCCATGTTGATGGGGCCGTAGAACGAGTTGTTGCTCATGTCGCTGCGGGGGAGAAGGGGGTTGGGGAAGGAGGGGGGGAGGGACAGTGGAATGAGGGAATAGGGTTGCTCAACCTTGGGGACCATGCCCACAAAGTCCATGTTGATCGGGCCGTAGAACGAGTTGTTGCTCATGTCGCTGTAGTGGGATGGGGAGGGGGACGGGGAGTGGCATTGATGGGGGAATAGGGTCCGTCAAGCTTGGGGACCATGCCAATGAAATCAAGGTTATGGGGCCGTAGATTGAATAGTTGCTCATGTCGCTGCAGGAGAGAAGGAGAGAGGGACAGGTGAGGAAAAGGAGGGAATGGGAGGAGCCATTCTCAGTAACTATTGAAAGGGCACGCCTTGAAATCACGTCAGGGTCCCCATAGAACTAGCTGAGGAAGGACGAGAGCTTACACGTAGTTGAGGGCAGGGAAGTTGAACAGGCAGGTGGGGAAGCTGCCGTAGAGATGATTGTTGCTCAAGCCACTGTGGCATGTACAGCACACACAGAGAGCGATGCAGGTTAGCACATGCAGGTGAACAGACACAAGTGAACACATACCCACGCAGACACATGTACATACCATGTGCACATCTTGAAATCATGCGTGAAGTTACATGCGCACAAACTGGATAAATGACGCACAAGCAAGGAAAAGACACATACTGCGCGCATCTGTGATCGTCAGCGCACACACACCCATGCATGCATCTGCGCTCATCTGAATGAATGCAGCACTCGATCACATGTCTCAAAGCCAAAGAGCCATGCGTTGATCCATTCTCTGACACCCCCCACCAAACCAGTGCTGTGTGTGAATCGGTCATTTACATGCGTTGAGCCACACTCTCTCTTGCATTGACACTCACACTCACACTCACACCTACTCTCAGCTACTCACATGGCCTCTAATGCCGTGAGGTTGCAGATGGCTGCAGGCAGCTGCCCTTCGAACGCATTGCCATCCAAGAGGCTGTGCCACATACGGGTGGGCATGGGAAAGCAGGCATCGGGTAGGCATGGGGAAGCAGCCGACGTCGGCATGGGGTAAGAGGCATGGGGGCGAGCAAGAATGGGGCCGGCACAGGGTGGAAAAATGAGAGGCGGGGGAGAAGGTGGCAAGAGAGGAGGCACATGGTAGAGGGCAGGCAGCCTACCAGGGCACAGCATGCAGAAGCAATATTATGCATACCCGCAAGCAGCAGGGGTAGGGGGTTGCTGGGGATGGGGTGGGGAGGGCTCACAGCTGCACGGTGGCGTTGAGGGCACCCAGAAACTCGGGGAGTGGGCCCGAGAGAGAGTTGTCTGCTATCCACCTGTGGGCGGAGGGGCGCGAGCAGGTGTGGTGAGGGAGAGGATTAGAGGAGTAGATAATGGTCAGAGGGGTTGATGGAGGAGCGGGTTCTGGTGGAAAGGGGATGATGGTGGAAGGGGTTGATGAGGGAAGAGATGGGGCGAGGTTGAAATGGTGAGGGCGGGAGAACCAGGAAAGAGATAGCTTTCGAAATGAATGAATGCGGGACGGGATGACGAGAGAAACATGCCATGATTCAACACTGCTAAGTGCTTGCAATTGACTCGCTGACTCCGCGAGTGTTGAGACATCTCAAATCTTTGAAGAGGCAAGTTGAGGTGAGGAGGAGATCACACACAGCGTGTTGAGGTGGGGTGGGGAAGAGGACACTCACAGCATGTTAATCTTCCTGAGTGCTGAGAAGCCAGAGGGGATGGAGCCTGATAGCTGATTGCTCTGAAGCGTGCTGCACAGCAGAAGAAAAAGGGTGCGTTGTAGGGGGTGCGTTGGTGAGGCACCGTGTGTATTTAGTGTGTATAGGGTGTAGGGAGCGCAGAGAGTGCTAGGAAGTGCATACAAGAGTGAAGGGAGTGCGTACAGAGTGTAGAGGGAGGAGAGAACGCTGATGGAATCAGGTATGGGACCCGTGAGGTTGTTGAATCCAAGGTACCTGCATGTGCGGGAGGTGTGGGGGACAATAGGGCGAAACAGGGGGGAGAACTGAGGTTTTCATGGGTACTCTACGGGTCGCAGAGAGAGGGAGGAACGGGAGCAAGACCAAGGGTGAGGAGCAGGAGAGCTGAGCCTTAAGGCAGGTGTTTAGGCTGTAAAAGGCATGCAGTGAAGCGGGCGCACAGGGCAGAGGGGGCGCACAGGGCAGAGGGGGCGCACAGGGCAGAGGGGGCGCACAGGGCAGAGGGGGCGTTTGAGATGACTGAAAAGCAGTGAGGCATACAGGGAAGTAAGAGCGTACAGGGCATTGAGGGCATACAGGGCAGGGAGAGCATACAGGGCATTGAGTGTGGTGTTGCGCCAGGCGTTGAAGTCTGGAAGCGGCCCTGACAGGCTGTTGCCCTCCAGCTTGCTGCAGTGCCATGGGTTGGTGGAAAGGGGAGGGGCTGAGCGGGCAGCGTTGTATTTCCAGATATTACACAACATAGAGACAGGATATTTGCTTAACAGGAACCGGAAACCAGTGTGCTGCAATAGTTTGCTTCGGATGCGCATGGTAATGTGGTAACGTGATACTTTGGTAGCCTGGTAGGTGGCAACGTGGTTACAGCATGGCAAGGGAGGTGCTTGTGCTGAGGTGTGGAGGAAGCGAGCCCTGCAGCTTGTTGTACGCGAAGGAGCTGCAGGACAAATGATGGCGAGGGAGGGCGAGAGAGTGAGTAAAGCACACACAGAGTGCACAGTAGCAGCATTCAGTATCACTGATGGCGGTAACACATCAGCAGCATTCCGAAAACAGCACAGGCACTGTCGTGGCAGTACATGCACTGCGACGGCAGCAGGCAGCACTCCTGAGAAAGAGTGGAGAAGGCATCAGCCGATTGCAATCCCTCGAAACTCTCCACATGTCATGTTGTCACAATGCCATGCCAGGTGACGTCATGCCATGCATCCCAAGTCATGCCAGGCAGGCCACGTCACCCAGGCCTGCCACGTGGCAGGCAGGCAGCATGCTCACAGGTCGTTGATGTTGGGCGAGAGGAAGAGGCCGGCAGGGATCTCCCCCACCATGTGGTTGCCATCCATGTAACCTGGTGGCATGGAGGGTGGTGGCGTGGGGGGTGGTGGCATGGAGGGTGGTGGCGTCGGGGGTGGTGGCGTGGGGGGGTGGTGGCGTGGGGGGTGGTGGCGTGGGGGGTGGTGGCGTGGGGGGTGATGCCATGGGGGGCGATGCCATGGGGGGTGATGCCATGGGGGGTGATGCCATGGGGGGTGATGCCATGGGGGGGTGATGCCATGGGGGGTCATGCCATGGGGGGTCATGCCATGGGGGGTGATGCCATGGGGGGTGATGCCATGGGGGGCGATGCCATGGGGGGTGATGCCATGGGGGGTGATGCCATGGGGAGTGATGCCATGGGGGGTGATGCCATGGGGGGTGATGGCATGGGGGGTGATGCCATGGGGGGTGATGCCATGGGGGGTGATGCCATGGGGGGTGATGCCATGGGGGTGGTGATGCCATGGGGGGTGATGCCATGGGGGGCGATGCCATGGGGGGTGATGCCATGGGGGGTGATGCCATGGGGAGTGATGCCATGGGGGGTGATGCCATGGGGGGTGATGCCATGGGGGGTGATGCCATGGGGGTGATGCCATGGGGGGTGATGCCATGGGGGGTGATGCCATGGGGGGTGATGCCATGGGGGGGTGATGCCATGGGGGGTGATGCCATGGGGGGTGATGCCATGGGGGGTGATGCCGATGGGGGTTGATGCCATGGGGGGTCATGCCATGGGGGTCATGCCATGGGGGGTGATGCCATGGGGGGGTCATGCCATGGGGGGTGATGCCATGGGGGGTGATGCCATGGGGGGTGATGCCATGGGGGGTCATGCCATGGGGGGTGATGCCATGGGGGGTGATGCCATGGGGGGTGATGCCATGGGGGGTCATGCCATGGGGGGTGATGCCATGGGGGGTCATGCCATGGGGGGTCATGCCATGGGGGGTCATGCCATGGGGGGTCATGCCATGGGGGGGTCATGCCATGGGGGGGTCATGCCATGGGGGGTCATGCCATGGGGGGTGATGCCATGGGGGGTGATGCCATGGGGGGTGATGCCATGGGGGGTGATGCCATGGGGGGTCATGCCATGGGGGGTCATGCCATTGGGGGTCATGCCATGGGGGGTGATGCCATGGGGGGCGATGCCATGGGGGGTGATGCCATGGGGGGTCATGCCATGGGGGGTCATGCCATGGGGGGTGATGCCATGGGGGGTGATGCCATGGGGGGTGATGCCATGGGGGGTGATGCCATGGGGGGTGATGCCATGGGGGGTGATGCCATGCGGGGTGATGCCATGGGGGGTGGTGCCATGGGGGGTGGTGAGGCATGGCATGGCATGGGTTGGCATAGGTGGGATTGCATGGAAAGCTGGGACATAGGGCATGCGGTGTGGCACATGGTTGATGAGCAATGATGACGACATGGTGTTGGGGGCACAGAGCACGGGGCATGGGCTATGACGCATGGAACATGAGGGTCTATTGTAATAGACAAGAGATGGTGCAAATGGTGCGTGGTGATTCATACACACAAGACGCGATGCATGGGCTACAAAGCATGGAACATGAGGGTCCATGGTACACAAGGCATTGTGCATATTGTGCGTGGTGATTCATACACACAAGACGTGATGCATGGGTGATGGGGCAGAGGAAGCAAGGACGCACAGGTATATGATGTTTTTGAAGGAGGTGAGCTCGGTTGGGAGGGGTCCTTCAAAGTTGTTGTACGAGAGGTCTCTGCTTGGCCGTGCACGGAGTGGGAGGAGGGAAAGGAGTGGAAGGGGTGGAGGGGTGGAGAGGGCTGAAGAGATGCATCACTCACAAAAGGGATGGGCAAAGAGGGAAGGGAATGATGGGGTGTGGCTTGGGACGGTGGGATGTGGCACAGGTGAAGTGCAAAGTGGTGTGATGCGATAAGTCCGATCCCTTGGCAAGAGAG